GCTATTTTTCCCACGCTTCCGCTGCGCCACTCTGGTACAGATCACAAAACACAGTGTGCTTCCGAGAACTCAAGCTCGACCAACACCAGTTACTATCGTAACTCACAAAACACGTCTTTCTTGGATCCTTTGGATCTCTTCAGTCGTCTCTTGCACAATCTCAGCTAGCTTCAACATAGAATAATTAATCTCACTTGTTAGGAAAAGAGCCAAATTAGTCATTCTATCCAAAATCACCCAAGTAAAATCATATCCCTCAAATTCTCCAGAAAACCCAACACAAAATCCATGGGAATACTATCCGATCTCCACTCTGGAATATTCAACGGTTGCATCGGACTCAACGGTCTCTGACGTTTATTCTTCGACTTCCAACAAGTCTAATCAGCACATACAAACTCAACCACTTATCTCTTCAACTATGACTCTCAAAATAATTTCCTCAAATCCGGTTACATCTTCATAGCACTGGGATGGATACTCCATCTACCTCAATACTCTTATTCCACTTAATAATATCTGGGACACAACTCTATCACGACATCTCGTGATACTATTTCCATTAATCTAAAAATCATCCTTTCGACTTTAATTCCTCAGATTCAACCAATCTACCAACTCAAACCAGAGTTCTTACCTTATCGAATCTCGTCAAGAATACCACAAGTAAGGTCCAACATACTAAGCTTAAGTCTATAAGAAGTCTCTTCACAAACTAATTCATACCACAAAATTGCTCAATCAGTTCTAACTCTTTTCACCATCATCATCGTTATATGCAAGGATTTCCAAGTCAATGCATAAGCTACCACGTTTTGATTTTCCCGAATGGTAATTCAATCTGAAACCATAATCCATTCCGGAGTCTCAATTATTTTCTCTGCCTCATATTCGACTCTTCCAAATCAAATAAATACCTTAAGCTCTTGAGGTCACCAAACATGTCAAATCTCAAACTAACTAATCGAGCTTCCAACTCCGGCACTACCACAACAACAACCAACTTTAAATCACTCGTCAGGTGATTCCTCTTATGTACTTCAAGTTGCCTTAAAACATAACCCAAAACTCGTTGACGTTTCACTTATCATATCAACAAGGCATCATAAACACAATAAATGGTCCTGTCGGGTTCGGCAAAAATCAACACACGATACATTTTCAATTTTCTGCTATAATTGAACCAGGTACAGGCCTCAAAACAGTTTATCGTGATAACCCTCTTTCTCCCACAACTTCTCTAATAACTGTCTTCTCTCATTCCATCCACTAATATTCCAAATAATAATAATAATAATAATAATAATAATAATAATAATAATAATAATAATAATAATAATAATAATAATAGTAATAATAATAATAATAATAATAATAGTAATAATAATAATAATAATAATAATAATAATAATAATATTAATAATAATAATAATAATATTACTACTAATTATTAAATTATCATCATTATTAATTATATTATTATTAAACTCCAATCGTTATTAAAATAACTCTTACAGTCTAAGGGCATCCACCAACGCACTCAGACACACCTCCACATAAAGGCACACCAACAATTCATAAATAATTTAATTAAAATGAACGGGCGTTACACAAACCAACCCGTTCATCAATGGGTTGAGTTGGGTTGAGTTCGTGAATATAATTCTCAAATTCTAAATAGAATAACAATTTAATTAACACATTTATTTTATAAAAATATTTAAAAAATCATAAATATTAGTATTTAATTTAAATAAATTGATCGGTTAATATCTAAAAACTCTTTTACGATTCATATCACGTTAGAAAATTATACAAATAATGTAAATTATTATTTAAAAGGTAATATATCACGTTAGAAAATTATACAAATAATGTAAATTATTATTTAAAAGGTAAGATATCTCTCTCTTTGAACAAATAAAGTTGATCTCTTAAATTTAATTTTGACTTTGATTTTACAATTAATAAAAACTATAATTATATTTTAAAAAATTATATACAACATCAGAATTATGCTAGATATATTATAAATAAAAATAAAGTAAAAAAATAGTGTGACAAATAAATACAATTTGTGGATTTAAAACTTCAAACCTGATATTCGAACTAAATATCAATTTGTTGGATAAAAAATAAAGGTTGAATTGAATTAACCCATACCCATAAACCTCTATAAAAGAAGAGAAAAAAATCTTAAATTAATTTAAAATAATTCTTATTTTAAAGTTATTCTTATTTTAAAGTTATTTTATTTATGCTCTAAAATCATATGAAGTGACCAAATAATGGGGTTTCATTAATGCCTTTTTTATAATGTGATTCTTAATCCGAAATAAAATCATGTGTAAGTTCAACTAATAATAATAATAATAAAGTAACCACCTCATCTTGCTAAAGAAAGACATAACTAACGCAACGACAAAGTTAAATTAATTAACAATAAATTATTTATCCATCAATGAAGTGATAAACAAAAAGAATAATTCAAAAAAAAAAATGCGACACAAAAAGAAATTTAAATAAAATTACAAAAATAGCAAAATGCCTCAAAAAGACAAGGCAACCAAAAGAGCCACGCCACCCAAAACAACCGGAGCCCCGGAAATTGATCTTGAACCCGAATCATCGCCGATAGGACCCGGTGAAGAAGTCTCTGGCGAAGAACTCGACGGTGCAGTTCCAGGCGGCGATTTGCTAGACGGAAGTGTCGCCGGTGAATCTGCCGGAGTAGCCGAACTTGAAGGGATACCTCCCGAGGCAGCCTCTGGTGGTGAAGAAACTGATGGACCCTCTGTCACCGTTGGGGCCCCAACAGGACTACTTACCGGAGCCACCGCTGCAGTTGGCGGAGGAGTGGACGGGGGTTGAACCGGTGGTGAAGACACATTGGTGGATGGGCTGATAGCCGGGGAAACCGAAGACGGTGGCTGAACAGTCGGCGGTGGGGTAGACCCGGGTGGAGAGATCGTCGGAGTTTGTGAAGGCGGAGATAAAGTTGGAGACTTTGCAGGGGATGCTTTAGAAGCCGTGGGAGATTGTACCGGAGGAACCGAGACCGTGGACGGTGGTTTCGCTGGTGACTGAGGAGAAGAAGCCGGAGCATTGTCTGCAAGAACCAAAACTGAGGATATGGTGAAGAACATAGAAAGTACTACTAAGAGTGAAAGCAATTTATTCATTTTTGGAGTTTTTGAGGAATAGGGAAGTACGAGGATGAATGAAAAAAAGGGTTAGTGAGAATGTCGGGAAAAAGTTTCAACAATGTAGGAATTGTAAGTGGTCGTGTTTGTGTGTGTATTGAGAAACGTTGGTGTTGGGAAATTTATAGGATGAGAGTTTTGGAGCGTAGAGAACTAAAATGTGACCGTTGCGATGGTTCACATGGTATGGCCAGTAAAATAGCCGTTGATTGTTGGTGTTATTGGACCGATCTGACATGTTTTGTTTGGATTTTTTATATGGAGATAAAACAAATTAAACAACCATGTTTGGATTAGATTTATCAATATTTTATTGTCATGTTTCTTTGTTCCTTTGGGTTGGGAAGGGTTGTGTTGTGGTGGGAGTTGGAGAAGGGATAATATTGAAGGAAAATAGGAAATAGTCATTTGATTCTTAATTGTACTAAGTGGATGTTAGTTACCTCTAATCTTAAATATAATATTCATTTCACAAAATGGCAAGAATTAAGAAAATTGAAAGTGATAATATATTCATTGATATATTTTTTAAAAATTTCTTTTCTAAAAGAGAGCAAGAGAATGAGTTTAGGTTTTCACGATGTTATTTATTGTTAATTGAAATTAAAAAAAAAATAGAGATTAATTATCATGGATAATGTTAACTTGTGTCCCAGGACACAATTTAAGAGATAAATATAGTAAAAAATTATTAGAAATTGTGTATTGAAATTAATACAAGATTACAATTAATGAGTTTATTGTTTTTTTCGATACAAATTTTATATTTATACGTTTTTTAACACGTTCCCTTAGGGTACAAGTTAGAATTACTCTTAAAATAAAAGTCAAATTTTTTCCAACATTCATCGGTAGCTATAATTAACTGACGGTGTAAAATGTATTTCAATTAAATTCAAAAAAATAATGTAAAATAAATAAGGAGTGTGATGGTAAAGAAATTATTGATGTAGATGAAAATTTAAAGAGTTTTTTATTAAAAGTAAGGATGAAAGTAAGGATGGCAATAGGTCCCAAGCTTATATGTTCAAAGCAAGAATATATTCTGTATTGAAAATATGGAGCAATCTTGATTTATCTTTGAACAAGTAGTTGTTTATTTCAGCAAGAATATATTATGTATCGAAATAACGCAGCAAGAGTCGAAAATGTTTGTAGCAGTTGTTGTATGATGAAGCAATAATTAATTTGATGTGTCAGATTTGTTACGGATGCATTGAAGTACATAGTGTTCTAGTGTAAAATAAACAGGCCAGGGAAGGTTATGGACGTATGATTCGATGTGTCGGTATTGGTTAAAAGGTCCTCGGCCACCATTATTGATGGTCCAAGATTTCTCCGGATTTCAACAAATGACATTATATTTCAGGAAGAACTTAACGTTGTTTGACAGAGTAGTTTGAAATACAAGCACCGGTTATTTCAAAGGCAAAGCATAGAATATGTATGAAGGATAGAACATATGAAGGAAGATTCAATTGGTATAATTGTTGGTAATATACATATACCAACATAAGAAAGAAAAAAACAACACTTAACAATATTTTTCTGACATTTAATTAGAGATCTAACATGTCGCATTATTGTTAATGCGTTGGCTACTTCCTGAAACAATATCAAAGAACTACAAACACAACATCTATCCGATAGGAAATTTGGCACTGCAAGCATTAATACAAGAATAGTCCAAGTTTGTTTCTTATGCAGATTCTCCATATAACAATCCACATTTTTTAATTGCTTTAATGTGTAGTGGAAACCATACTCCCTATTTTCTGAGTTCTGTCCATGCAATGCTTATGTGAGATTGGCGTGTCCAGAAAACCAAGGTAATCCTGTTGGAGAACACTGTTTTGCACCTGAAACCGGAACAATAGGACCCAGAAAGATGCGCCACAGATCAAGTATTATTGTGACCAGCATTGCAGCGCCCAAAGCATCAACAGCCACTCTGGGCAAGTCCCATTTATCGCCAGGTTTTTCATCAATCCTGCATATTCACGCGAATAACCATCACTAAGATTAGTACAATGCTGACATATTTCCATTTCTCGTGTACGCAACTACTCCCGACACGGAATGAGGCAATTCAAACATCAGCTAGTAAAAACGTACCGTAGAAACATTGGGAAGCTCACAATGAAGTAGATTGCATAAAACAATGATCCAACCTTGTACATAGAATCTCGGTCCACAAACTCATAATAAGGAAACTGCATATACCCAGTACATAACAATAACATTATTAAAAATATGCATTTCATATTAAAGGTCAAAGGCGGTGCTAAATAAAAAGTTAGCAACACTAAACCTGCACAATATTTTGCAGAAAGGATAATACCACTAAATATTCAAGTATAACCAAAAAAGAGGTGATTATGGATCCACTTCGTATATTGCTTTACCAAACTAGCAAATTGTTGGTCAAAAAAGTGATTCAGAAAACTTATATAAATGAAAAGAAAATAAAAGCATGTAAATATAAACTATAGGGATATTAGAGGACTATATGAAGAAAGCACCAAAAATTAATTTTGATCATCTAGAATTAGGCAACTAACATTAAACACCTAGCAGGATCAAACTATAAGCATCAACCTGAAGCGTGAAGGTATTTCTAGCTATACTCACAAAGTTTGCTAAAAGGCATATTTAAATGCTTTGATGCCTTAAAACTATGAGAAAATGGGATGTACGCTGACAGTGTAAAATTACACTGATTTTACACTGTCAACCAATCATCATCATGTATTCCGCCACATCAGACTGTAAATTTAAGTTAATGGTATGACATGGCAGATTGATGAATTCTTATTAGATAACAGTGTAAAATTATTTTATACTGTCAGTGCATACCAATTAAACTCCAAAACTATAGGTTGCAATCCATGAATATGTCCAAAAATGTAAGACTAAACAAAGATCATAATAATGAAAACCAGTTGAGTAGTTTGTCACAACATACATTGGAAATAGCCAATGTCTCCAGGTATGCTATAAAATAAGCAAGAGTGAGAATCCATGCAGCTTCAGCAGCCCACCGTATTTTTTCTGGGGTATCGGCCAGAAAATGTCGTAACCGACGTAGTGTCATGTTTGATGCAACATGATAAAAGAGAAAGCAAACATGAGTGAGCAGGAATGTTGTGTGTGGTACCTGCCACCAACAAATATAACAAATCAAGGAAGATTATGTGGCCTCACTAAGTGGTAACTAATAGGTCCAGAACTGTGAAAAGGGTAGCAAACCAGCAGAGGCTTACATTGTTCATTTTCCATGATGGAAAGGTATAAGATGCGCCCAGAACTGTGAAAAAGTAATGAGTCCAGAAATAATTCCCAACATAACTAAAGATAATTATCCAGAGACTGGCCTGTCAACGGTATATATATGTACATGTTAGGTTATGAGGAAACCAACATATTTAAATAAATATGTATACGTAGACTGACACAATAAGTCCATAATAAGGATTGTAAGGTAGTGACTGTCACTGTCATTCCTTTATCAAAATATCAAAAAAAAATAGCAATAATAACACAGATAAGCATTTAAATCCATTTCATAATATAGAACAACTAAATTTGAATGTAAATGAAAGGAAACTGCAAAGTGTAAAGTCGTCAATCAGGACATGAAAAATTACATCCATCACAATCCAAGTCACCTTTCCTTTTCTAGTTGGAGGGGTTAGTTTGAGCTTTCTTTCTGTTTTGGATCTTGACTTAAGGAGTAAGGCACCAGAAGGTAAGTCCTACAGGTTTCCTGACTGGAAGGAATCGTTTTGTTCTCCATCAAGAATGCCTCAAATGATAAATCCACACAATTCATATGTTTATTTTCTTGCATTAACAAGATTGAAAATGAGGCTTCAAATTGAAACATATTGTTCACTTTATTATCAGGGATTAAAACCGGTTTTAATTTTTATGAATTTATTGAGATTAAGAACCAAATACAAGATGAATGACAACAATTACTTTCAATTATAAGTTGCACAATTGAAAACAACAATGATAAAACTTTGGAAAACGATATCCAATAAAAACACTTGCCTTGACCCAATAGCGGTTGTTCCAAGATATGCCTCTATCCGCCTGCAAAATTTGATACATTAAAAGAAACAAATTGATATCATTCTCAACACACATTCACTATATCGTATAAATTAACAACTACAATAAAATCATAAATCCTTATCAATAAGTATGAATACAAATATCAGCATAAAAAGTGGTGCAGCACACGAAAATCAACAATCAAGTTCTAGTTGTTTAGGTTTCATAATCCATACCATAAATTACCATAGTATAAACATAACATGGTATCAAGTCACACAAACGTAATTTAGTAACCTATTTGCATCGGCTTATTTGTGTTTATTTACTCTTAAACACCCATGAGACTATTTGAGGTTGCGAAAACGCCTTATAACAAACACAGAAACAGTTAGACTTTTATTTTATCTGTTATCACAAAAATAGTTTATGCATAATAACATAAACAATTTTTTACCTTACCAACAAGCAGCATTGGAATGAGGAAAGCAGGAAGTGCAGAGACCAAACCAAGAAGTAAATACTCCAATTCAGTGAATTTCTGTCAAGTAAAGTAATTCAGTGTTTATAAAAAAATGATTGAAAAGGAATAGCTTGAAATTAGCTACTTAGCACCAACACCTAAAGTCCGTGTATGTGTCATTGTTTACACTACACTGACACTTGTGATTACATTTAATTTATTTAATTTTTCAAATTATTAACAGGTTCGTCGTGTCAGTATCGTGTCAATATCAAAGAAACAGAAGAAAAACCTCGTAAAGTTTGTAAGGAACAACAATGCCAAGAGAAAGGGAGAGCCAGAAAGGGGTGTAGAGGAGGAAGAAGAGTTCGCCCCATCTTTTGCTGGGATTTGGAGCCAGCCACAAGCTTGGAGAAGGTGAAGCTGAAGTTACAGAATTTCCACGGCAGAAACAAAGAAATAGAGATTTAGATCAGTGAAACAATCGATAACTATGAAATGAATGAATCAGAGAATTGAGAGATATGAAAATGGAATTACCGGACATTTTGGGATAGCGATCTGATAAGCGAGATGAGTGAAAACCTCTCTCCTTTGACTCGTTCAGTCACTTCTGTCACTCGTGTGTTGGGCTCGTAATAGAGGCATCAGGGGTAAGGTAAATGCGTTGGAGACAAAAAAAACCAATAAATGTTTGATATCAAATAAACCTCTATGAATAAAATCAACATGTGTATATAGAATTTTTTTTATGATGGATATAGCTTCTATTTAGTTGTTTTTTTTGTTAATGTATTTTTCAGTTAATAATTGTTCATATGTATTTGTATGGCTTTTAAACTGTTTAACTTGATCATTTTACTTAATACTTTGTTTTGTCGGATAACATCGGATAAAGACTTCATATCATAATGATATCATCATCAAAACTAAATAAGTCAATAAATTGTTACGTTCGATATTAAAAACAAAATAAGTTAATAGGTTACTATAGTCATTATACATATAAGTACATAGATCTATATTCTTCTCTTTTTTATGATGAAAACACATCTCTTAAAACAAACAAAAAAACATCTCTCAAGACTACTCAAATTCCTCAAAGTCACATAACACTCGATGAGATAATTAAGATCCATTTTGTTTGAGCATGCAAAATTCCTAAGCAAAGCTTCATCGAAAAGCTTTTAAAATCTTCAAAAATATTTTCTTTCAAGTGGTAGGAATGAATAATCTTTCTTGTTGAATAATCTTTGTTGAATTAATCCTTTAGTTCTTAAGATGAAAAGAATTTTGAGAATGGTTTATGATTTTGGTTTTTGTGTGTGGTTCTCTCTACGAGACCTAGTTAGTTGATGGTGGTATTGACAATATGATCTCTAATATGATTTTTTTTAGGTGAAATATTGAGGCTTGAATGTCTCTAGGGGTGGAAAAATGAGTTTGGTCCGCTGGACATGTCCGTTTTGCCCTCACACCGTTTTTCTACAAGCTTTTGTGGGCGCGAGCATTAACATAAATTTTTATCTTTTTAGACTTAAAAGATGCAGTGTCTGCATGCTCGTCATGCCTCACCCTTTTTTTAACAAGACAGTACAAGGATTAGGTTTGCATCCTTAACTATGTTTGCCCTGCCCTACTTCGTTTATTGTGGCATTTTGTGAGTTAGGCCTAAATAAGACGAACATACACGTTCGTCACACCTATTTGTTATTGAAGGCTCTAAGATTTTACTAAATTTTGGTAAAACATGATGTTGAACAAGATGTTCTTATATGAAGAAATATGTAAAGAACAACACGTCGGACAAGATGTCTTATCTCGAGGACTCGATATTTTGGTCTGATACAGCAGATTTATTACAGATCTGTTCCAAGATTTAAGGCACGATCAAAACACGGATCAAGGAATGATTGGACAGAGATTTCGAAGTCCATGGACAGCTGAAGATTATAGACGGAAGACCAAGACCTAGGGTAAATCACTAGTCCTTGTTAAGACTTTTATAAAGCAAAAATAAAGGTTTAGGATTTTGAGAGTCGTGTACTTTTCTTGTATTGTAAGTCACCATTTGTATCGGTTTGATACATTGTGGTAGACATAGTTTTTCATATTCATAAATCTGTAGGTAATGAATTGTATATTGTTCTTGGATGAAGCTTTTAAGGAAAATAAAGTATTAGTGTTAGTCAAGAGTATTGACTGAATATTGTGTTGAAAGGGTTGTCTTTCAATTGAACAGTTTGATACAGTCACTGAAGGTTGTGGTTGTTAGATATCACCGAGGTGATTTAGGAATTGAGATGGTTTTCTCTTATCTATATGGGTTTCTAGGTAGAAGTTGCACTGGGTAGGGAATCAAGTGATAAGTTACCGGAGGTTGTATACTTAAAATTAATACTACTGATAGTGAATTCATTCCTGGCTTGGTAGCCTCCAGATGTAGGTGTTGTTGTACACCGAACTGGGTCATCATATCTTGGTGTTATTTATCATCCTGTTATGCATAATTCAGTTTATTCTTATGCTCTAAAATATATGTCTTAACAGATGTTGAAACATTTGTCATGACACTATTATGACTTTGAGATATCATAATGCTCCTTCTTGTCATTATGTTTAAAACAGAGATAAAGCGTCTCGATATCTCTTAGGACATCTGAGATCTGAATACCAGAATTTCAATTGGTATCAGAGCATGCATCATGTTCTGTTTTTGGATGAGTTATAGGCAAGATACTTTTTTGTGTTTTGAACAAGGAAGGAGATTGTATGATTAGACCATCCATTAATGTTGTGTTCAAGTGGATTGGAAGATAGGATTATAGCTTTTTGAATCCAGCTTGACAACTACTGATGGTTGACTGATACTTATGTGAAGATTCTACCGCTGCTACTGATAATGATGTTATTGTTACGCATGGTTCCTTATAATATGTTTTGACATCTTACCTGGCGCTTGTTGAAGATGGTTTCAGTCTCTATAGATGTTCAAGCCATCACTAGCTGGGAGTAATATAAAGGAGAGAGCATTATGATCTAGCTTCCACTGAAGGATCTTCCTATATTTCTTGAGAGATAGTTTCAACCAGGTACCATGAAGGATAATAGGAGAAAAATTATTGAGTTGAGGTCTTGTTTATCAAATTCATGATATATGGATTTGGTAAACACTCTATGTCACGTTTAAAGTAGCCCAAGATACTTGAGTTTTCTCTCAAGTCCACTCACAAAGGCACTTTTGAATGTGTTTGATAAATAGATTTCGGAAGAGAAGATGGTCAAGAAGAATATCCACGGGTACTTATTTAAAAAGTGTGACATGAGAATATCATACCATTGAAGAAATACATGAGCAATTTATTTTTCCTCCCAACCCTATAAGAGATTATTCATGTTTGAGGATTCCCTGTCAGAATTCTTAGAAGGAAGTCTATTCTGGAATAGAAAAGAAGGAATGGTATGGTTGTTTAAATGTCAGCACAATTATATTGACACTTAACTAGGTTGGAACTGGAGTAAACATTGATCAATGTCAAACCATTCTTATGAGTGTGAAGACATTGGATATTTGTGGAGAAATTTTTCCTACTGATCTCAAGAGCAACTACATGAGGTTTCTAACTCTTGGAAAGTGATCCTGATTATCCAAGGATATTACTGGTTTGTCTGAAGATGGTCTTCTAAGAAAAATTTATGCTTTGAAGATTTCTTCCTATGGTGTGTTGGATGTCTTATTCCTGATCTTGTAGCTAGAGTAAGGAGGGGTGTCAACCTAAAGAAATAGGAGTTGTAAGGACTAAACAGTTATAGAGGGCTCATCTAATGAAGAGGGCTTTGGAAGATTCATAAGGATATGGTTTTCCTAGTCTGAACACCAAAGAGAACTCTGAATTGTCAAGAGGTTGTGTATCAAGAAGCAAGTTGAGTCATGGATGTTAATCCTAATGTCTCAACATTGTAATCATTGTCGGGATTTTCTAGCTAAAGAGGAGTCTAATGACATTTGGTGATTGAAGAATACAGAATTTGGATTTTAAATCAATTTCTACTTGTGGCCTTAGAAAGCATTTAATTGATTATACTTTTTCTTGGTGTTTAAGAAAGATGATGTCAAAATGTCACACCAGAAGGTGCAGCTTCAGATAGTTGCAAGAACTCAAGAATCTTCTTATGTATCTGATTTGTCTTGAAGAATGGATACAATCAGTATCATCTGTGAAGTTCTCAAAAAGTCCTTATCTTGTCCTTAGATGTAATCAAGGTGTGTAATTCTAGTAATGGCTTCAGAACCAATTTCAACCATTTATTCATTGGAAAAGGAACTGATGTTCAACGAGATGTTAAAACATCATTCCAGAAGAGTGTGTGCAGAATCTTGTTGATCCAAGGAGTGAACTTCTTGGGAAAAGGATTGATGTAGCATATGCTAAACAAATGTGTGTTGATCAAAAGTGTTAGAAGTCTTCTTCAGATTTGGACTTGAAGAGACATTTGGTTTGTAGTCTAGGAAGTCTTAATCTAAGAAACTTGTTATGGATAGGTGTGCTGGTGGAAGTAAAGATTAACACATGATCATATCGATAAATATTCCTTGGGTTAGTTTATTTCTAATCTAAGTGCTTAGGGGTACAGATTCTATGTTCTGGTATCTCCTATAGAAGTATGTGTCATAATTACTAGTGGAGGACTGTTAAATGAATCTCAACCAGACTATATGGAGGTCAAAATCTAATATTTAGGACATTTTCTCATATATCTTGAAGACTCTTTTGCTCATAAGAAGCCAGATTCGTGTGAACCGCTTTTGGATACTCTTTTCAAATAGAATAGTATCTGGTATGAATGATTATGTTGGAGAAGGGAACTTAAAGAAGCAATTAATTAAGATGGTTTTTCAGAAGACTGGTTGTTGTTTTTTTTAAAACAGGATGGAGGTTGTTTACTCAAACTTGAATATAAGTTTCAAGTCTATGAGAATATGGAACTCTTGTTCCGTTGAGAGAAATCCTTCAAGGTGGGATGAGCTTTTCAAGAATTATGGCTAGAGCAAGGTGGAGTTAGAATTGGAAGATCCAGTTTCTCTGGTGGATCAAAAGACCACTCTTCTGGAACTCTGATTGATCATCCTTATAGGGATCCATGTCAAATAAACCTAGTTATTTGTTTGCTCAAGGGAGGTTTTCCTTTTGCTTAAGGTCTAAGAAATGTGTGTTATCACATGTTTGGAACATTTTAGCTTGTAAGTGATGGTGTTCTTAACTTTATGAAGGTGTGTGCAAAAGGGTAGTAGACAGAAAGTTAAAGGAGAAACTGTTTCTGTCCATGCCGTGGTGCGTGTAGAAGAAATCCCAAGGTGCTTAAGTATGATTGATGCCTCTAAAACATCAGATAGATTGTTTACACATTCTGTTTCTGGTAAAAGCTTCATGAGATGCATGAGAGTTTATATACCTCATTGGTTTTTTGATTCGTGTGAAGATTAAGCTGACACAAGTGTGTATCATATTAAGATCTTCATGTGTACCTTAACGAGGTGTAAGAATT